ATATCAGTCTACGCAATTATAACACATCGCCCGACGTACAGTTACTATATTCACGCCAAGTACCTTATTTATATTTCACCTCACATGGATGGATGAATATCACATAAAACACTAATATATGTAACAATCTAGGGTGTTATCAACTGTGACACAAAATCACCCCATTAGAGATAACACGCCTGTCATAGATAACAAGGTATTCCTAACGGGTGTGATTGGTATGAGTATGAGTAATGACCTTGTACTGATTGATATCGGCTTAGTAATCGAAAAAGAAATAGACATTCGCGGTATATGCATTAAGTATAGCTGTTCATAGATACAGTTATCTCTAATGATGATAAACAGTCGAAACCGCATGTTGCTGCTAGTGTTTTGAACCTAAATGGTAAAACCAGATAAAAGGTCAGGTCATCTCATATTTCGTATTAAATTTGATTTTTTTTTGTTGACATTGGTGTAGGTTTTATTTTACATCACTTCATACTACCAGATATGTTTTCGGCTGCAAACGGATCAATATATATTAGTTAATTATATTTAGAATTTCATTTGGAGAATGTCTATGTCATAATTATCTTTCAACTGATATTTTACAAAAGATTTTAACAAGTTCTAGCTATACTATCATGTTTTACCTAAACAAAAAAGAATTAAAAAAAGCGTGTATCTGATCTGCAAGAATACAACTAGCTAAAGCTTCAGCAATATTGTACCATGTTACTATAACATAAGATGATTGGTTATTTAAATTACCTTTCGTTCGTCGCCCTTTTTCTCATGAAGTACTGGAGAAATTATTTTATTTTATTTGTAAGTCTCTCTTGGTACTTAGATGAGTATGTTGATTGACTTTGGACTTGACAATCAATATATGTAATTATTATTATTATTTATGATAATGAATTGAAGTATCTTCTTAATCTGATCTGCTGGTTCTTTGTTATGTACAATGTCAAAGTATTCGTGTTTTTCTTTATATAGTATTATAAAATAAGGATGCTAGTACATAGGTCGAACGACTACCCCACTTTGAGAGGATAATATCGGAAACAGAAGTTTGAATATTTGATGAAACAGGATCAAAGAGAAAACTGCCTATCAGTATAAATATGATACAGCACTTTTTAGTGGTGTGCTTTCAAACCTTTAAGTGAGGAAAAATCTGTTAAAAAGTCAACCTTTTTATTTTCCAAAATGCACGTCAGAACAAATTAATTTAAGAAAATGCATGACATGCTATAATCTTATCTTATCAACATGATCAATACGTCAATTGTAAAACAAAATATATTTAGAACCAATTTTATTCTGACAAAATATGACAATAACCGTTTTGATGTTCCTGAATTAAAATCCGCGCATAACATGATTGATAACTAGTATTTTGAGACTTCTGATAAATCTTTCTTTAAATCTTAAATATTTAGTTGCGTTTTTATGACATCGACATATAACTTACGTGGAGCGTAATGTCAGATCTGATAAGCGTGAATAGAGATTGTATCGTATTGATTAAAAAATTCAGAAGGTGCATAGTGCATTCGTGTTTCTGTTTCCTGGGTTCCCCTGGAGATTAGGATAATATAGATATGTATAAAGGTGAGTAAGAATGACGTTACTATACATATCTATATCCGCGAGTGAAGTATGAACTGATATACAGGTAAGCGTAAAATCCATTCACTATTGATTTTGAGAACAGTTATCGTTCAATAACATGGTCGCTGTAAGTCTTTGCTCTTAATTTTCGTATTGTCTATTTACACCTTTTTGTTAACGCTGTCATACATTTTTGTCTCTTAAAAAATCTTAATTTCTGACACTTTTCTCAATACTATCCATTAATATTCTATCTTTCGGTTACCTTATTTACACCCTTTTGGTGACACTGTTGTATATCTGTGTCCATGTTACCAAACATAAATATACCAGACACGATTTGGCTTAAAATGGCCAAATACAAGAGTATCTATTAGTTATCTGAGACACATATATTAGGTCTATATTATACAATTAATGCCCTTCCGTTCCAAGGTCATTTGAAAACAAGCATTTCTATTTAGGATTCCTGACTGGAAAATTTACCGTATGCATTTTTGACTGAGTAAATTTAAGAAGATAAGTTTTTGGGATTAAAATGGTAATCTTGCGTAGATTCTACGTAAATTATAAAAAAAAAAAAATCGCACAAAAATCTTTCTTTTTACACGAGGGTAACTTTTCTTAGTGCAATCCATAAATAATAAAACTAAAATTCTGCTTGAAGATATTGTAAAAACAGAATCAAATTTTTAATATATAAGTTTGTGTAAGATTTACCCATATAAACTGATATGCCATTGAACATTGCATAAAATGAGATAAAGTCATACGATATGTAACTGATTGGTGTTTCTTTTTAAAACATTTTATACTTATACGCTCTATTTTTTAGGATTCAAATGTCGATAATTGGGTTAATCAAATCAAGTTTTCATAACTCATGCCATGCTGGTATATCTAATCAGCCTGATATCAAAGCACATGTCATTTATTCTGCACTATACAGGATCGTTGACAGGTGAACATTTGAAGATCACACCCGATCAAGCTAGTTCAGCCAGTCAGAAGCCAGCAATAAGGTTATCTTTTGTTTTTAATTATTTCCTGTACTCCATGTTACTCCTTGATAATTGAGTTAATCAAATCAAGGTTTCGTAACTCATGACATGCCGGTATATGTAATCAGCCTGATAAATACGTCATTATAAAATAAATTACATCAATAGATAATAACCAAGAAGTCTTATCTGAACTACAATGCTTAACCCAAGTCTAAACCGAACTACTTGGTGTAATTTTACTCGGTCAAAATGATGAAAAAAGCGTTCTGATTCTCCTGATTTAAAATCCACGAATTATTATTATTTCGGATAATTGATAGCTGTTAGTTTAAGAATTCTTGGAATTTATCTTTATATTTCAAATATATTGTGTCATATTGATGTGATCGACATATCACTTACGAGTAACGTAACGGCGAACCTGATAAGTAAAGATTGATTTATCGATTTATTAAGCATCAATAAGAAGGTGAAGTAGTGCATTCCATTATATCGTAGGAGCCACCATCAATATGTGTAACGATTTACTTGGAAAACATGCCGCATGGAGATTCGAAAAAATATTGACAAAGACACTTAAAGATTAGAAAGTTCAGTAAGGATATCGCTGTCACCCATACAGATATATACCAGCATATCTAAAAACAAATGTGGAAACAGGAACCAATACACCTCCAATACCTAAAATAAAAACTCTAAAATCTGCATGAAACAACCGATTGAAGTAAACCTGTATACCACCGATAGCAATACGTGTACAAATGTACCTGCATGTTAAAATGTAATCTCTGTAAATAACCCTTACTTACAGGTTTTGATAATGCGGTCGTAATTTGCCAACAAAAAATTGGGCATGCGTACAAGAGCACATACCATTTATTCTGCACTATACATGAAGTTTGACAGGAGGCAATTGAAGATCACACCCGATCAAGCCAGAGGTGATCACAGACACAGTTGTTAATATATAACACAGTTTTATAATACCACATGGTGATCATACAGACCTAGGTCACTTGGTAGTCAACGCAGTTATCAAACAAACATAAATGTATGATATTTAACATATAAATAATCTGTTGGTTGAGGCAACACAGTGATAACACAAAATTAGGTACAGTAAAAATACCGCAGTTTTGATTTGACGAGTAGGAGGTGCTCCACTGGAACATAATTTACAAATGTCACTTCTTATTTTTGTTTGAACAAATGACAAAGTTATTGATTTGACTGAAAATTTATCAGATAAAAAGGTAAGAACCGCAAACATGCATCGTACTTGATATGTGACAGGGGAGACAACTCTTTCGACTTTTCTACCAATAAACTTATGTTTCCTGTTAAAATAATGTA